AGAAATTCTTGCTTATTTCTAATCTAAATCTCACCTCTTTCAGTTTTAAGCCATTACACCTTTTCCTATCACTGCAGGCCCTTGAAAAAGGCCCCTCTCCAAGCTTTCTTGTAGGCCCCTTCAGACACTGGAAGGCTGCTCTGAGGTCTCCCCGCAGCCTTCTCTTCTCCAGGCTGAACAGCCCCAACTCTCTCAGGCTTTCCTCATCGGAGAGGTGCTCCAGCCCTCTGACCATTTTTGTGGCCTCCCCTGGCCCCGTTCCAACAGGTCCATGTGTCTCCTGTGCTGAGCAGGACTCCCGGTGGGTGATCCCCAGAGTGGAGCAGAGGGGCAGAATCCCCTCCGTCAACCTCCTGGCCATGCGGCTTTTGATGCAGCCTGGGATATGGTTGGCCTTCTGGACTGGGAGTGCAAACTGTGGGGTCATGTGGAGCTTCTTGTCAACCAGCACCCCCAGGCCCTTCTCCTCAGGGCTGCTCTCACTCCAGTCTCCGCTCAGCCTGTATTTGTTCTTGGCATTGCCCTGACCCATGTGCAGGACCTTGCACTTGGCCTTGTTGAACCATGTTCTCAAACTCTCTCTCTCTGGAGCTCTACAACCCCCCTGCTTGAGGAGATTACTCTCGATTTATAGTTTCTTTTCTCAGGCAATGCAGGGAAATAAGGTGCATTATCTGCTGCCTAAAAGGGACATGGACTGCAGAATCACAAGGGGAAGAGATGGGGTGAGTGAAGAGATAATGCCAACATTAAAAGATAAAATGGATTAACATCTCCCTGCATGCACAAAGCTGCGTGGGTGGAGCAAGAGGTTGCAATAGCAGTTTAAAAGGGGATGAGACAGCTGCGCATCCTCGTATTTTTCTGTTAAAAAAAAGAAATCCCTCCCAAAAGCTGAGCTTAGTTGATGCTGTCCTCCAAAGTCCACGTCAATCAGCCAGGCTGGCTGTCCGCAGTCGGGAGGTGTCAGGACAGCCTGACTAACAGACCCTCCTGGCTGACCTACACGCGGCTAATGCAGCTTATTTTTACCTGCAGGCTCCAGCAAAAGGTTGCAGAAAAGATCCATGGGAAATAGCTCACAATCATATATTTTCATTTCTAGTTCATCCTGGGATTTTAGCTTTAAAGAGTTGAGACAAACGAGGCCACGCACTGCTTGCCCAAGGCAACTGTTCCAGCGTGTCTGCAGGGTGACACGAACCGTGGTGGAGGGCCTGTTTAGGATGTGATTAAAGAGGTAATTCTCCCTCCCTATGCAGATGAGATCTAAGTGTGACTTAAGTAAATTACTGAATGGCTTGTTATAGCCCTGGCTGAGTTCCCTTGCTGCACAGAGCCTAGTTTTTTTACATCCAATTTGCTGTGAAGCCCAGAGTGTCACAACAGCATCCCAACACCTGCATCTCTGCACTTGTCTGACACCCCTTCTCTAGAAGATGGGACCCTGGGGACACGCTGTGCATGGCTCTGAGGCGCAGGCTAAGCCCCATCAGTTTTCCTAATAGTTTCTGATGTTCACTCCCTGAAAGCTCCCCCCTCCTGACAATGCCAGTCCACGGTTTGATCTCCAGGGACTAGCTGACTGAAAGCCAGAAGCACTTTTCTCTTGGCTAAAGGACTTTTAACAGAAGCACACTTTATTCACAGTGTGGCACAGATGAGCGCACAGATCTTGGGAAGGGTAACAACCCCAAAAGCCCTCTTGTTTCTGCCGCTGCTCTTCTACCCTCTTGAGAGTCTTTTGGCTCCCAATCTGTGTCCGGGAGAGGATCTTAACCCCTGCAGCTCCCTCCCTGCTCCCCCACATCACAGACTGAGCTCTGCCCTTTGGTTTGTCATTTTCCTATGGAGTTTAGAATCACTTCTGGCACCTTGTGATCTTTCACCCCATCTCTTGGCATTTTTCCATTCGCGCCCCAGGAGGATGGGCCTGAGGGGCTCAGCTCCATCACCCTGCCCCACGCAACCATTCAACACTTTGTTGCCGTTAATGGCTCCACCTCAGCTTCTCAGGCATTGCCCTGTTCTTACCATAAATGAGAAGTTCTACATGAGCCGGCAATGTGTGCTTGCAGCCCAGAAAGCCAACCGTATCCTGGGCTGCATCAAGAGAAGTGTGTCCAGCAGGTCGAGGGAGGTGATTCTGCCCCTTTACTCCACTCTCGTGAGAGCCCACCTGGAGCACTGTGTCCAGCTCTGGAGCCCCCAACAAAAGAAGGACGTGGATGTGTTGGAGCGGGTCCAGAGGAGGGCCACAAAAATGGTCAGAGGGCTGGAGCACCTCTGCTGTGAGGACAGGCTGAGGGAGCTGGGGCTGTTCAGCCTGGAGAAGAGAAGGCTCCAGGGTCACCTTACAGCAGCCTTCCAGTACCTGAAGGGGCCTGCAGGAAGGATGGAGAGGGACTTTTCACAAGGGTGTGTAGTGATAGGACAAGGGGGAAAGACTCTAAGCTAAAAGAGGGCAGACTTAGATTGGATATTAGGAAGAAATTCTTCACCATGAGGGTGGTGAGGCACTGGCCCAGGTTTCCCAGAGAAGCGGTGAACCACATGATCTTTAAGGTCCCTTCCAACCTAAACCATTCTCTGATTCTATAAAATGGGAGATTTAATCCCCTCTGAGGGCTGTGGTGTAGGCAGGGATCCCAAAGAGGAGCGGGACCTGCACGTGTGGCACAGGCCGGCATGGCCGTACAGCAGCAGCCCTTTGCAGCGGCCATTTTGGAGCGCGAAAACCCCGCGACCCTGACGCGGACCCTCACGTCCCTGAAAGAGAGGGGCAGAAACTGCCCTCGCCGGGCTCCGAGCGATGCTCGGGATGCGGCGAGGCCGCTTTGCTCCGGCGGCTGCGGTGCCGTAGCTGGGCAGGGTGGCCCCGCTCCGGGGGGCCC